AGCCTGAAACTCTCAGACTGAAGAAGTCTCTTGGAGGAGAGACGAAACGTTTCATTAGAGAAGAACCCGTCCAGAAGACCTATACTATTTTTTTCTTTTTGATTTCTATCGCAGTTTCTGTCCAGCGGGTGCTGCTAACCCCCTGTTTTACAAATCTTTATTGAAAATTATACAATGATTGACAAAATAGTAAAATCTCCACCTCTCCACCTTGAAAAGAAACGGAGGGTAGAATTTACATATAAATAAACGGACACATTTTATGATGTAGGCCGAAATTGAGCTTCCCCTCCTTGAAAGACCAGCATCTGCCACTGGGACCTACCGTACTTAACWGTTTTTTTCTATCTGGATTACGGAGATGCATCAGGTCGTCATGTTGTTCATACTGTACGCATTGCAACTATCAAAGACGACTTGTTAAATTCAAAACATTTTTATTTAGTAGTTGTTGTATTCATGCACAAGGCTGCACCTATACAGGCATCCAGGTTTGGTAAAGTTCACTTCTGACACCACTGTAGCTGTCTGTGCTTTGTAACCATCAAGGATGACTCTTGTTAATTTTTAGTAGCTTTTGGGGGCCACATGGGAAGTAGACGTAAGAAAAATTTCCTACCATATTTTAGCTGCCTTTTTAATTTTTCTTAGATGTTTTGCTTATTTTAACTTTTCACTGAAATCTCATGTTAACAGAGTCCCCAAATTCGAACAGCACTAAGATTTTTTTTAAGTAAGCAGAAAACTGGTAAATTCAGGGAACTACCTTTTCTGAACATATTCATGGAATTTAATTACTGATTTTTACAGGTGAATTATAGAAATGAGTTTAAAAATGAAATTCCATCAATGTTTTTAGAATCATAACTTTACTGTGGAAGCAGTCAAATAAAGTTAAGTGAGCGTTTGGAAGTGGAACATTTGAAATAAACTACTTCAGACTTTTCAAATGGTGGAAAGGTCATGCAGAGATCACAGCCAAGGATGAAACAAACACAAATGAAGCACAGGTGATGGGGTTTAAAAGGACAAGAGAAGAAAAGATCAATTAGGAAGTGGAGCAACGCCACAAAGTACAATAAAATTCCTGGCCAGCCATCTCCAATATAATTTAGCACAGATTTGAGTTTACCTGCTTGACTGCATCCTCATAGCATGGGGGCTGTCTTAAGTCAGATGCATGTGACTCTGAGCTACTGAAGGCGGGGGGAGAGACCTGGCACTTTTGGCCAACATGCCGGGAAGACGGCAATACTGACATCTACATGAGAAATAAGTGAAAAGTGACATTAACATTTTGCTGGGGTGTTTACAAACTGAGAGATGTAGAAAACAAAGACCAAARCTGAGGCCGTCATAGCTGAACAATCTGGTCACGTTTAATCTGAASTGAAATTAGTTGGCGTTGCAAAAGAAAAGTCTCTGTGTGATGAAAGTGGGATGAAAACAGATCTGACACGAGTGATGGTAAACTTCACAACTAAGGAAGATTCTATATTCAGAAAGAGATGAGAAACAAACAGAAAGGAGGAAAATATTCACATGGATGTGGGTTGATTCTGTACAAGACACAGCTCTGACGTGACAACTCTGAAACATTTACCTTTGGTTGCACGTTCTGGTTTTCAGCCTTTGCAGAGCCGTTGTGGTTCAGGCCACAATCAGCCGAGCCTGGAAACACTGGCTGACGGCTTCTTTGGTCAGAAGAATAAGAACAGTTCAGCTGCTGGCTGCTGCCTCTCTGCTGCATCTGCAGTTACATCACAGAACATTAAAACAAAGAATGAAAACTTACAGATATCTGCACATTGTTTGACACATCACCACTGCTACAGTGAGCAGTGTAGTCCCACAGGGCTGTGTACTTAGTCCACAGCTTTTTACTCTTTTGACCTTTGACTGTGCGGTTTTGACCACATCATCAGGTTTGCTGATGATGATAAATGTTCTACCATGCAACAGGATTACACTAATTTAGAACAGGTTTGTATTGTCTTAAAATTTTCTGTTGAAATGGTTATACATATTTTCTGAAAAACCTTGCAGTCATTGATTCAATCATAGTAAATTTATTTTTTTTTCCTTACTACCAGTGGTGGGCAGCACTAATCCAAAAATTAGTTCCATAATTTCTAAAGCCCTCATGAAAATATTTAGGTCTGCAACTTCAAAATGCTTATGTCATAGAAAAATTAGCAGAAGTTAATTAAAAAGCACAAGTTCAATTTGACACTTAATAGCTGACAAATCATGTACAAAATATACACAATGCTGCCAAGTAGCAGTGTGTGAATCCTTGTACAGCTTATTCCTACAACCACTGATTACTGGGGATGTGTTTTCCTGAAACAGACCTTTGGCTCCTGGTGTAAAAATTAAAAAGTTGTTGAGGATTGCTAGTTCGGCTGCTTCTTTGTGTTTTTTGTTTGTTGTAGATTTTTCATTAAAGAAGCATCAGTAAAGTAATTTTAAAACTGTTTATTGGAAAACTGAAGCGATGCATTCTGGGTACATGACGGATTTGATTTGTGACAGGAAACGAAAGCACAGAGTACAGGAAACTATCTTCTCTTCAAAATAAGAGCTTGGATTTTAAAGTTTTCCATGTAGTTGCTCCAGTTGACCACTAGATGTCAGTCAGTCTTCATCAGCATAACATCTTTAAATTATTTCTGAGTCTCTAACACAGTGGCTTCAACCAATTATGACAAGTATTGAGCTCCAGCATTTAAACTTTATTTTTTTAAAAGGAGCTCTGATTGCAAAGTAAAATAAATCAATACATACTAAATTTTAGTATGGATTACAAACGTTAACTGTTTACTGGGACAGGGAGTTCTAAACACTGCCTTCCTGCTACGTAAGCAGACACAAAGCATTGTGGGAAATCAGAACCGTGACCCAAAGCAACAGTCAGCAGGATGTATACCTTCACAATAAGAGTGTTTATCTGGGAGGGGTGCTGTTGGATAGATCACRTGTTGTGATTCATTGACAGTCATACCTTCTGCTGTTCAACATAATGATGACTGGTAGATAATTAGTTATTAGCAGTACTGCATTTTATTTTTAGAAAGTGCAAATCCGCTTATGAATAATAAAAATGAGTAAGTCCACTAAAGCGCAAACAAAATATTTAGGTCCRCAATTAGTGGATTTGCACTTTAGCGGACTGGTGCCCACCACTGYTTACTACATACATATATTTTCATTCCAACTGTTTCAAATGTGGCATCGTACCTGCATGTTGTGTGCTCTGTTGTTTCCCTGTGGGTGACCACAGGTGTCTCTGCCCAGTGGGGGAGACAGCAAGTAGGGGTTGTTAGGAGATGATGGCTGGGAGTTGGAAGTTCTTCCAATGGGAGAATCCTGTGGGGAGCACTGTGGACTGAGAAAAGCTGGCATGGTGGAYGGGCTGCCTGAGGACGGACCTGTGTCCATGCACTGCCCACCAGAGCTAGGACCCCCCATATTTGTGATGGGGTTGTTGCAATGTCCGATTTCCTCCATGCAGCTGACAGAAGGGCTCTTGAGCTGTTTAGGAGAGGACAGTGGACAACTGGAGGACATGGACATAGGCTCCTGCTTGATGGTCACTCCAGAAAACTGCTGACCCATTATGTTCTGCTGCAGGTGGAGCAGAGATAGATGAGCCGGAGGAGAGGAGGTGTCCTGGGAGGCTCCATAGCAGCGTTTCCTCTTGTGAAGCTGCATCTTTAGCTCTTCAACCTAACAAACACAAAGGGAGATCAGACACATCATTTGAATTGGGATTCCATATAAAAGTTGGAACATTGTGTAAAATGTAAATAAAAACATAAAATAATGATTACAAATGTTATTCACAACAAAATAAAGTRAACTTATCAAATGCTGAAAGTTAGAAATTGTACCATTTTTAGGAGAAAATAAAATAATTTAGAAAATTATGACAGTAATACATTAAAAAATGCACCCTGGTCTGAATGGTCTCTCTTGTCTTTAGTCTTGGGAATGTGGTGTGCATGGTTTCCAAAAATAAAACTAAATTTTGATTCATATGACCACTGAACAGTTTTTTTTTTACTTTGTCACAGTCGTTTTTAAATGTGCTTTGGTTCAGTGAATACATCAGCATTCTAGATACTGTTCCCCTGACTGTTGGGTTTGGATATAACCAGTGGTGGGCACCAGCCAACTAAAGCCCGAATCAGCTAATTGCAGAGCTAAATATTTCATGTGCGCTTTAGCGGTTTTGCTAATTTTTATAATTCATAAGCAGATTTACTCTTTCTAAAATTAAATTACAGTACTGCTAATAACTAATTATCTACCCGTTATCATTATGTTGAACAGCAGAAGGTATGACTGTCAATGAATCACAACACATGTGATCAATCCAACAGCACCCCTCCCAGATAAACACACTTATTGTGAAGGTATACATCCTGCTGACTGTTGCTTTGGGTCACGGTTCTGATTACCCACAATGCTTTGTGTCTGCTTACGTAGCAGGAAGGCAACGGCAAAAGAGTAAACGTTTGTAATCCATACTAAAATTTTGTATGTATTTATTTATTTTTACTTTACAATCAGAGCGCCTTTTTTTAAAAAAAAAAAAGTTTAAACGCTGGAGCTCAAAAGCAATCGGCCAACGGTGTTAGAGACGCAGAAATGATTTAAAGATGTTATGCTGATGAAGACTGACATCTAGTGGTCAACTGGAGTAACTACATGGAAAACTTTAAAATCCAGGTAGAAAAAATGAAAAAAATCAGTAGGTCCTCTGGATGGGTTCTTCTTTAGTGAAACATTTCGTC